CGGATTCACAGATCAGTCCTCTTCTGTAACTCTCCGGCTACGGACTACGGATTCACAGATCAGTCCTCTTCTGTAACTCTCCGGCTACGGACTACGGATTCACAGATCAGTCCTCTTCTGTAACTCTCCGGCTACGGACTACGGATTCACAGATCAGTCCTCTTCTGTAACTCTCCGGCTACAGACTACAGATTCACAGATCAGTCCTCTTCTGTAACTCTCCGGCTACGGACTACGGATTCACAGATCAGTCCTCTTCTGTAACTCTCCGGCTACGGACTACGGATTCACCGATCAGTCCTCTTCTGTAACTCTCCGGCTACGGACTACGGATTCACAGATCAGTCCTCTTCTGTAACTCTCCGGCTACGGACTACGGATTCACAGATCAGTCCTCTTCTGTAACTCTCCGGCTACAGACTACAGATTCACAGATCAGTCCTCTTCTGTAACTCTCCGGCTACGGACTACGGATTCACAGATCAGTCCTCTTCTGTAACTCTCCGGCTACGGACTACGGATTCACAGATCAGTCCTCTTCTGTAACTCTCCGGCTACGGACTACGGATTCACCGATCAGTCCTCTTCTGTAACTCTCCGGCTACGGACTACGGATTCACAGATCAGTCCTCTTCTGTAACTCTCTGGCTACGGACTACGGATTCACAGATCAGTCCTCTTCTGTAACTCTCCGGCTACAGACTACGGATTCACAGATCAGTCCTCTTCTGTAACTCTCCGGCTACAGACTACGGATTCACAGATCAGTCCTCTTCTGTAACTCTCCGGCTACAGACTACGGATTCACAGATCAGTCCTCTTCTGTAACTCTCCGGCTACGGACTACGGATTCACAGATCAGTCCTCTTCTGTAACTCTCCGGCTACAGACTACGGATTCACAGATCAGTCCTCTTCTGTAACTCTCCGGCTACAGACTACGGATTCACAGATCAGTCCTCTTCTGTAACTCTCCGGCTACAGACTACGGATTCACAGATCAGTCCTCTTCTGTAACTCTCCGGCTACGGACTACGGATTCACAGATCAGTCCTCTTCTGTAACTCTCCGGCTACGGACTACGGATTCACCGATCAGTCCTCTTCTGTAACTCTCCGGCTACAGACTACAGATTCACAGATCAGTCCTCTTCTGTAACTCTCCGGCTACGGACTACGGATTCACCGATCAGTCCTCTTCTGTAACTCTCCGGCTACGGACTACGGATTCACAGATCAGTCCTCTTCTGTAACTCTCTGGCTACGGACTACGGATTCACAGATCAGTCCTCTTCTGTAACTCTCTGGCTACGGACTACGGATTCACAGATCAGTCCTCTTCTGTAACTCTCCGGCTACGGACTACGGATTCACAGATCAGTCCTCTTCTGTAACTCTCCGGCTACGGACTACGGATTCACCGATCAGTCCTCTTCTGTAACTCTCTGGCTACGGACTACGGATTCACAGATCAGTCCTCTTCTGTAACTCTCTGGCTACGGACTACGGATTCACAGATCAGTCCTCTTCTGTAACTCTCCGGCTACGGACTACGGATTCACCGATCAGTCCTCTTCTGTAACTCTCCGGCTACAGACTACGGATTCACAGATCAGTCCTCTTCTGTAACTCTCCGGCTACGGACTACGGATTCACAGATCAGTCCTCTTCTGTAACTCTCCGGCTACGGACTACGGATTCACCGATCAGTCCTCTTCTGTAACTCTCCGGCTACGGACTACGGATTCACCGATCAGTCCTCTTCTGTAACTCTCTGGCTACGGACTACGGATTCACAGATCAGTCCTCTTCTGTAACTCTCCGGCTACGGACTACGGATTCACAGATCAGTCCTCTTCTGTAACTCTCCGGCTACGGACTACGGATTCACCGATCAGTCCTCTTCTGTAACTCTCCGGCTACGGACTACGGATTCACCGATCAGTCCTCTTCTGTAACTCTCCGGCTACGGACTACGGATTCACCGATCAGTCCTCTTCTGTAACTCTCTGGCTACGGACTACGGATTCACAGATCAGTCCTCTTCTGTAACTCTCCGGCTACGGACTACGGATTCACAGATCAGTCCTCTTCTGTAACTCTCCGGCTACGGACTACGGATTCACAGATCAGTCCTCTTCTGTAACTCTCCGGCTACGGACTACGGATTCACAGATCAGTCCTCTTCTGTAACTCTCCGGCTACAGACTACAGATTCACAGATCAGTCCTCTTCTGTAACTCTCCGGCTACGGACTACGGATTCACCGATCAGTCCTCTTCTGTAACTCTCCGGCTACAGACTACGGATTCACAGATCAGTCCTCTTCTGTAACTCTCCGGCTACGGACTACGGATTCACCGATCAGTCCTCTTCTGTAACTCTCCGGCTACGGACTACGGATTCACAGATCAGTCCTCTTCTGTAACTCTCCGGCTACAGACTACGGATTCACAGATCAGTCCTCTTCTGTAACTCTCCGGCTACAGACTACGGATTCACAGATCAGTCCTCTTCTGTAACTCTCCGGCTACGGACTACGGATTCACAGATCAGTCCTCTTCTGTAACTCTCCGGCTACGGACTACGGATTCACAGATCAGTCCTCTTCTGTAACTCTCCGGCTACGGACTACGGATTCACCGATCAGTCCTCTTCTGTAACTCTCCGGCTACGGACTACGGATTCACCGATCAGTCCTCTTCTGTAACTCTCTGGCTACGGACTACGGATTCACAGATCAGTCCTCTTCTGTAACTCTCCGGCTACAGACTACAGATTCACAGATCAGTCCTCTTCTGTAACTCTCCGGCTACGGACTACGGATTCACAGATCAGTCCTCTTCTGTAACTCTCCGGCTACGGACTACGGATTCACAGATCAGTCCTCTTCTGTAACTCTCTGGCTACGGACTACGGATTCACAGATCAGTCCTCTTCTGTAACTCTCCGGCTACAGACTACAGATTCACAGATCAGTCCTCTTCTGTAACTCTCCGGCTACGGACTACGGATTCACAGATCAGTCCTCTTCTGTAACTCTCCGGCTACGGACTACGGATTCACCGATCAGTCCTCTTCTGTAACTCTCCGGCTACGGACTACGGATTCACCGATCAGTCCTCTTCTGTAACTCTCTGGCTACGGACTACGGATTCACAGATCAGTCCTCTTCTGTAACTCTCCGGCTACAGACTACAGATTCACAGATCAGTCCTCTTCTGTAACTCTCCGGCTACGGACTACGGATTCACCGATCAGTCCTCTTCTGTAACTCTCCGGCTACGGACTACGGATTCACAGATCAGTCCTCTTCTGTAACTCTCCGGCTACGGACTACGGATTCACAGATCAGTCCTCTTCTGTAACTCTCCGGCTACGGACTACGGATTCACAGATCAGTCCTCTTCTTAACTCTCCGGCTACGGACTACGGATTCACAGATCAGTCCTCTTCTTAACTCTCCGGCTACGGACTACGGATTCACAGATCAGTCCTCTTCTGTAACTCTCCGGCTACGGACTACGGATTCACAGATCAGTCCTCTTCTGTAACTCTCCGGCTACGGACTACGGATTCACAGATCAGTCCTCTTCTGTAACTCTCCGGCTACGGACTACGGATTCACCGATCAGTCCTCTTCTGTAACTCTCTGGCTACGGACTACGGATTCACAGATCAGTCCTCTTCTGTAACTCTCTGGCTACGGACTACAGATTCACAGATCAGTCCTCTTCTGTAACTCTCCGGCTACAGACTACAGATTCACAGATCAGTCCTCTTCTGTAACTCTCCGGCTACGGACTACGGATTCACCGATCAGTCCTCTTCTGTAACTCTCTGGCTACGGACTACGGATTCACCGATCAGTCCTCTTCTGTAACTCTCCGGCTACAGACTACAGATTCACAGATCAGTCCTCTTCTGTAACTCTCCGGCTACGGACTACGGATTCACCGATCAGTCCTCTTCTGTAACTCTCCGGCTACGGACTACGGATTCACAGATCAGTCCTCTTCTGTAACTCTCTGGCTACGGACTACGGATTCACAGATCAGTCCTCTTCTGTAACTCTCTGGCTACGGACTACGGATTCACAGATCAGTCCTCTTCTGTAACTCTCCGGCTACAGACTACAGATTCACAGATCAGTCCTCTTCTGTAACTCTCCGGCTACGGACTACGGATTCACCGATCAGTCCTCTTCTGTAACTCTCTGGCTACGGACTACGGATTCACAGATCAGTCCTCTTCAGTAACTCTCCGGCTACGGACTACGGATTCACAGATCAGTCCTCTTCTGTAACTCTCCGGCTACGGACTACGGATTCACCGATCAGTCCTCTTCTGTAACTCTCCGGCTACGGACTACGGATTCACAGATCAGTCCTCTTCTGTAACTCTCCGGCTACAGACTACGGATTCACAGATCAGTCCTCTTCTGTAACTCTCCGGCTACAGACTACAGATTCACAGATCAGTCCTCTTCTGTAACTCTCCGGCTACGGACTACGGATTCACAGATCAGTCCTCTTCTGTAACTCTCCGGCTACAGACTGACAACTTTTAAAAAGCTGCGCTGCCAAGTGGCAGTTGGCTCCGCCCCCGTTGCTATGGCAACTCAGCTCAAGGCAAGCCAAGCCAGTTACCATCCCTAATAAAATACAATTCTACATACTTACCATTACTAACTATTGTCTAAACAATACATGACTATAGAAATAAAATTACACATCATCACAGTGTACTATATACATTTATGTATATGTGTGCGTGTACTATATATATACACATACATACATACATACATACATGCACACATATACATAAATGTATTGGATGACATTTATATATGTATATATTTATAATCCAGGAACAACAATGTTATCAGATACGTTGCGGGCCAGAGAATGTTCCGAACCCGGAACTCGTCAAAGTGCGGAACCTTCATTTGGTGCTCAACCTAGGATTGTGTTTTTCCGCGAGCCAGATCTGTGCTCACCTCAGCCGAGAGATCCCGCCGGGTCAAGACCTCGAAACACAAGGACTTGAAGCGCTCCTCCATCCGCTTGCAATCCAGGTCAGATCCGGAGCGCCGGCCAAGTCGGGAGGCCTCGGTGAAGTTGACGTTGTTGATGATGAGGCAGTAGCCGCAAGGGTCGTTTGTGAGGAGATACGCCTGAGTGCGGACGGGAGAGAGGAGGAATCAGAAAGACTGGGTGCGTCTACACGGCGGAATTTCTGCAGTTCGATACTGCTTTAACTGCTGTGGCTCAATGTGCAGAATAATAATGATATATGATATAATATTATTATATTCTAATATAATATAATATTAATAGTTAATAGTATAATGTATTTTATAATATAATATATTATAAATTCTAATATAATATTAATATTTAATAGTATAATGCATTTTATAATATAATATATTATAATATAATAATATATTATAATATGATAATATATTATAATATAATAATAATATATTCTTAGAATTATCTATATATATAAAAAGGGAAAGGGTGTTCAACGGGACAGCAAAACGCGAAAAAACCCCGACGAAAACTCACCAAATTTGCCGTGCACATACCTCAACCCACAAGGTATGCACAACGCAAATCAAAATTCCAAACAACATTTCAACAAACTCACAATTACAAAAACCAACTGAGCATGCGCAGTGCCCAGGGGAGGAAGTACACACGCAATGCACTCTGGGAACTGTAGTTCTAGAACGCGGCCTACCCGCTGACGCTGAAGCCCCGGCCTGGTGGCCCAGGCCGCCCCCGCACACCGCCGTCTGGCTCCGCCATCGGTGAGGAAGGGGAAGGAGGGAAGGAAGGACGGAAATGAGGGGAAGGGGTGTAAATAGCAAGGAAGGAAGGAAGGAAGGAAAGAAAGAAGGGAAGTGGGAAGGGAAGGTGAAGGAAGGAAGGAAGGAGAAGTTGAGAAGGTATATGAAACAAGAAAGGAAGAAAAGAAAGAAGAAAGAGAGAGAAGGAGGGTGGGAAAGAACGGAGAAAGGAAGGAAGGAAGGAGAAAGGAGGGAAGGGAAGGAGTATGAAGGAAGTAAGGAAGGAGAAGTTGAGAAGGTATATGAAAGAAGAAAGGTAGGAAAGAAAGAAGAAAGGGAGAGAAGGAGGATGGGAAAGAACGGAGAAAGGAAGGAAGGAAGGAAGGAAGGGAAGGTGTATGAAGGAAGGAAGGAAGGAGAAGTTGAGAAGGTATATGAAAGAAGAAAGGAAGGAAAGAAAGAAGAAAGGGAGAGAAGGAGGATGGGAAAGAACGGAGAAAGGAAGGAAGGAAAGAAAGGAAGGGAGGGAAGGTGTATGAAGGAAGGAAGGAGAAGTTGAGAAGGTATATGAAAGAAGAAAGGAAGGAAAGAAAGAAGAAAGGGAGAGAAGGAGGATGGGAAAGAAGGAGAAAGAAGGAAGGAAGGAAGGAAGGAAGGAAGGAAGGAAGGAAGGAAGAAGGAAGGAGAAAAGGAAGGGAAGGGAAGGAGAAGGAAGTAAGGAAGGAGAAGGAGAAGGAAGGAAAGGAAGGAAGGAAGGAAAGAAAGAAGAAAGGGAAGAAGGAGGAAGGAGAAAGAGGGAGAAAGGAAGGAAGGAGGAAGGAAGGAAGGAAGGAAAGAGGAAGGAAGGAAGGAAGGAAGGAGAAGGAGAAGGTATATGAAAGAAGAAGGAAGAAAAGAAAGAAGAAAGGGAGAGAAGGAGGATGGGAAAGAAGGGAGAAAGGAAGGAAGGAAGGAAGGAAGGAAGGAAGGAAGGAAGGAAGAAGAAAGGAGGGAGGGAAGGTGTATGAAGGAAGTAAGGAAGGAGAAGTTGAGAAGGTATATGAAAGAAGGAAGGAAGGAAAGAAAGAAGAAAGGGAGAGAAGGAGGATGGGAAAGAACGGAGAAAGGAAGGAAGGAAGGAAGGAAGGAAGGAAGGAAGGAAGGAAGGAGGGAAGGGAAGGTGTATGAAGGAAGTAAGGAAAGAGAAGAGAAGATATATGAAAGAATAAAGGAAGGAAAGAAAGAAGAAAGGGAGAGAAGGAGGATGGGAAAGAACGGAGAAAGGAAGGAAGGAAGGAAGGAAGGAAGGAAGGAAGGAAGGAAGGAAGGAGAAAGGAGGGAAGGGAAGGTGTATGAAGGAAGTAAGGAAGGAGAAGTTGAGAAGGTATATGAAAGAAGAAAGGTAGGAAAGAAAGAAGAAAGGGAGAGAAGGAGGATGGGAAAGAAGGGAGAAAGGAAGGAAGGAAGGAAGGAAGGAGGAAGGTGTATGAAGGAAGGAAGGAGAAGTTGAGAAGGTATATGAAAGAAGGAAGGAAGGAAAGAAAGAAGAAAGGGAGAGAAGGAGGATGGGAAAGAAGGGAGAAAGGAAGGAAGGAAGGAAGGAAGGAAGGAAGGAAGGAAGGAAGGAGAAAGGAGGGAAGGGAAGGTGTATGAAGGAAGTAAGGAAAGAGAAGAGAAGATATATGAAAGAATAAAGGAAGGAAAGAAAGAAGAAAGGGAGAGAAGGAGGATGGGAAAGAACGGAGAAAGGAAGGAAGGAAGGAGAAAGGAGGGAAGGGAAGGTGTATGAAGGAAGTAAGGAAAGAGAAGAGAAGATATATGAAAGAATAAAGGAAGGAAAGAAAGAAGAAAGGGAGAGAAGGAGGATGGGAAAGAACGGAGAAAGGAAGGAAGGAAGGAAGGAAGGAAGGAAGGAAGGAAGGAAGGGAGAAAGGAGGGAAGGGAAGGTGTATGAAGAGAAGGAAGGAGAAGGAGAAGGAGAAGAAGAAGGAAAGGAAGGAAAGAAGAAGAAAGGGAGAGAAGGAGAGGAAAGAAAGGAAAGGAAGGAGGAAGGAAGGAAGGAAGGAAAGGAAGGAGAGGAAGGAAGGAAGGAGGGAAGGGAAGGGGATGAAGGAAAGAAGGAAGAGAAGAGAAGATATATGAAAGAATAAAGAGGAAAGAAAGAAGAAAGGGAGAGAAGGAGGATGGGAAAGAACGGAGAAAGGAAGGAAGGAAGGAAGGAAGGAAGGAAGGAAGGAAGGAAGGGAAAGGAGGGAAGGGAAGGTGTATGAAGGAAGTAAGGAAGGAGAAGCTGAGAAGGTATATGAATCAAGAAAGGTAGGAAAGAAAGAAGAAAGGGAGAGAAGGAGGATGGGAAAGAAGGGAGAAAGGAAGGAAGGAAGGAAGGAAGGAAGGAAGCAAGGGAAGGTGTATGAAGGAAGGAAGGAGAAGTTGAGAAGGTATTTGAAAGAAGGAAGGAAGGAAAGAAAGAAGAAAGGGAGAGAAGGAGGATGGGAAAGAACGGAGAAAGGAAGGAAGGAAGGAAGGAAGGAAGGAAGGAAGGAAGGAAGGAAGGAAGGAAGGGAGGAAGGTCAAAAGGGAAGGATGGAAGGAGAAAGAGGGAGGTAAAGAAGGGCAGAAGGGAGGTAAGGAAGAAAGAATGAGAGAAGGGGAGGGAAGGAAGGAAGGAAGGAAGGAAGGAGAAAGGAGGGAAGGGAAGGTGTATGAAGGAAGTAAGGAAAGAGAAGAGAAGATATATGAAAGAATAAAGGAAGGAAAGAAAGAAGAAAGGGAGAGAAGGAGGATGGGAAAGAACGGAGAAAGGAAGGAAGGAAGGAAGGAAGGAAGGAAGGAAGGAAGGAAGGAAGGAGAAAGGAGGGAAGGGAAGGTGTATGAAGGAAGTAAGGAAGGAGAAGCTGAGAAGGTATATGAATCAAGAAAGGTAGGAAAGAAAGAAGAAAGGGAGAGAAGGAGGATGGGAAAGAAGGGAGAAAGGAAGGAAGGAAGGAAGGAAGGAAGGAAGCAAGGGAAGGTGTATGAAGGAAGGAAGGAGAAGTTGAGAAGGTATTTGAAAGAAGGAAGGAAGGAAAGAAAGAAGAAAGGGAGAGAAGGAGGATGGGAAAGAACGGAGAAAGGAAGGAAGGAAGGAAGGAAGGAAGGAAGGAAGGAAGGAAGAAAGGAGGGAAGGGAAGGTGTATGAAGGAAGTAAGGAAGGAGAAGTTGAGAAGGTATATGAAAGAAGGAAGGAAGAAAGAAAGAAGAAAGGGAGAGAAGGAGGATGGGAAAGAACGGAGAAAGGAAGGAAGGAAGGAAGGAAGGAAGGAAGGAAGGAAGGAAGGAAGGAAGGAAGGAGGGAAGGTGTATGAAGGAAGGAAGGAGAAGTTGAGAAGGTATATGAAAGAAGGAAGGAAGGAAAGAAAGAAGAAAGGGAGAGAAGGAGGATGGGAAAGAAGGGAGAAAGGAAGGAAGGAAGGAAGGAAGGAAGGAAGGAAGGAAGGAAGGAAGGAAGGAAGAAAGGAGGGAAGGGAAGGTGTATGAAGGAAGTAAGGAAGGAGAAGTTGAGAAGGTATATGAAAGAAGGAAGGAAGGAAAGAAGAAAGGGAGAGAAGGAGGATGGGAAAGAATGGGAAAGAAGGGAGAAAGGAAGGAAGGAAGGAAGAAGAAAGGAGGGAAGGGAAGGTGTATGAAGGAAGGAAGGAAGGAGAAGTTGAGAAGGTATATGAAACAAGAAAGGAAGAAAAGAAAGAAGAAAGGGAGAGAAGGAGGATGGGAAAGAAGGGAGAAAGGAAGGAAGGAAGGAAGGAAGGAAGGAAGGAGAAAGGAGGGAAGGGAAGGTGTATGAAGGAAGTAAGGAAAGAGAAGAGAAGATATATGAAAGAATAAAGGAAGGAAAGAAAGAAGAAAGGGAGAGAAGGAGGATGGGAAAGAACGGAGAAAGGAAGGAAGGAAGGAAGGAAGGAAGGAAGGAAGGAAGGAAGGAAGGAGAAAGGAGGGAAGGGAAGGTGTATGAAGGAAGTAAGGAAGGAGAAGCTGAGAAGGTATATGAATCAAGAAAGGTAGGAAAGAAAGAAGAAAGGGAGAGAAGGAGGATGGGAAAGAAGGGAGAAAGGAAGGAAGGAAGGAAGGAAGGAAGGAAGGAAGGAAGGAAGCAAGGGAAGGTGTATGAAGGAAGGAAGGAGAAGTTGAGAAGGTATTTGAAAGAAGGAAGGAAGGAAAGAAAGAAGAAAGGGAGAGAAGGAGGATGGGAAAGAACGGAGAAAGGAAGGAAGGAAGGAAGGAAGGAAGGAAGGAAGGAAGGAAGGAAGGAAGGGAGGGAAGGTGTATGAAGGAAGGAAGGAGAAGTTGAGAAGGTATATGAAAGAAGAAAGGTAGGAAAGAAAGAAGAAAGGGAGAGAAGGAGGATGGGAAAGAAGGGAGAAAGGAAGGAAAGAAGGAAGAAGAAAGGAGAAAGGAGGGAAGGGAAGGTGTATGAAGGAAGTAAGGAAAGAGAAGAGAAGAAAAAAGAAAAGAAAGGAAGAAAAGAAAGAAGAAAGGGAGAGAAGGAGGATGGGAAAGAAGGGAGAAAGGAAGGAAGGAAGGAAGGAAGGAAGGAAGGAAGGAAAGGGAAGGTGTATGAAGGAAGTAAGGAAGGAGAAGTTGAGAAGGTATATGAAAGAAGGAAGGAAGGAAAGAAAGAAGAAAGGGAGAGAAGGAGGATGGGAAGGAAGGAAGGAAGGAAGGAAGGAAGGAAGGAAGGAAGGAAGGAAGGAAGGAGAAAGGAGGGAAGGGAAGGTGTATGAAGGAAGTAAGGAAGGAGAAGTTGAGAAGGTATATGAAAGAAGGAAGGAAGGAAAGAAAGAAGAAAGGGAGAGAAGGAGGATGGGAAAGAACGGAGAAAGGAAGGAAGGAAGGAAGGAAGGAAGGAGAGAAAGGAGGGAAGGGAAGGTGTATGAAGGAAGTAAGGAAGGAGAAGTTGAGAAGGTATATGAAAGAAGGAAGGAAGGAAAGAAAGAAGAAAGGGAGAGAAGGAGGATGGGAAAGAACGGAGAAAGGAAGGAAGGAAGGAAGGAAGGAAGGAAGGAAGGAAGGAAGGGAAGGTGTATGAAGGAAGGAAGGAGAAGTTGAGAAGGTATATGAAAGAAGGAAGGAAGGAAAGAAAGAAGAAAGGGAGAGAAGGAGGATGGGAAAGAACGGAGGAAGGAAGGAAGGAAGGAAGGAAGGAAGGAAGGAAGGAAGGAGAAAGGAGGGAAGGGAAGGTGTATGAAGGAAGTAAGGAAAGAGAAGAGAAGATATATGAAAGAATAAAGGAAGGAAAGAAAGAAGAAAGGGAGAGAAGGAGGATGGGAAAGAACGGAGAAAGGAAGGAAGGAAGGAAGGAAGGAAGGAAGGAAGGAAGGAAGGAGAAAGGAGGGAAGGGAAGGTGTATGAAGGAAGTAAGGAAGGAGAAGCTGAGAAGGTATATGAATCAAGAAAGGTAGGAAAGAAAGAAGAAAGGGAGAGAAGGAGGATGGGAAAGAAGGGAGAAAGGAAGGAAGGAAGGAAGGAAGGAAGGAAGGAAGGAAGCAAGGGAAGGTGTATGAAGGAAGGAAGGAGAAGTTGAGAAGGTATTTGAAAGAAGGAGGAAGGAAGAAAGAAGAAGGGGAAGAGAAGGAAGGAAGGAAGGAAGGAAGGAAGGAAAGGAAGGAAGGAAGGAAGGGAGGGAAGGTGTATGAAGGAAGGAAGGAGAAGTTGAGAAGGTATAGGAAAGAAGAAAGGAAGGAAAGAAAGAAGAAAGGGAGAGAAGGAGGATGGGAAAGAACGGAGAAAGGAAGGAAGGAAGGAAGGAAGGAAGGAAGGAAGGAAGGAAGGAAGGAGAAAGGAGGGAAGGGAAGGTGTATGAAGGAAGTAAGGAAAGAGAAGAGAAGATATATGAAAGAATAAAGGAAGGAAAGAAAGAAGAAAGGGAGAGAAGGAGGATGGGAAAGAACGGAGAAAGGAAGGAAGGAAGGAAGGAAGGAAGGAAGGAAGGAAGGAAGGAGAAAGGAGGGAAGGGAAGGTGTATGAAGGAAGTAAGGAAAGAGAAGAGAAGATATATGAAAGAATAAAGGAAGGAAAGAAAGAAGAAAGGGAGAGAAGGAGGATGGGAAAGAACGGAGAAAGGAAGGAAGGAAGGAAGGAAGGAAGGAAGGAAGGAAGGAAGGAAGGAGAAAGGAGGGAAGGGAAGGTGTATGAAGGAAGTAAGGAAGGAGAAGCTGAGAAGGTATATGAATCAAGAAAGGTAGGAAAGAAAGAAGAAAGGGAGAGAAGGAGGATGGGAAAGAAGGGAGAAAGGAAGGAAGGAAGGAAGGAAGGAAGGAAGGAAGGAAGGAAGGAAGGAAGGGAAGGTGTATGAAGGAAGGAAGGAGAAGTTGAGAAGGTATATGAAAGAAGGAAGGAAGGAAAGAAAGAAGAAAGGGAGAGAAGGAGGATGGGAAAGAACGGAGAAAGGAAGGAAGGAAGGAAGGAAGGAAGGAAGGAAGGAAGGGAGGGAAGGGAAGGTGTATGAAGGAAGTAAGGAAGGAGAAGCTGAGAAGGTATATGAATCAAGAAAGGTAGGAAAGAAAGAAGAAAGGAAGGAGGATGGGAAAGAAGGGAGAAAGGAAGGAAGGAAGGAAGGAAGGAAGGAAGGAGAAAGGAGGGAAGGGAAGGTGTATGAAGGAAGTAAGGAAAGAGAAGAGAAGATATATGAAAGAATAAAGGAAGGAAAGAAAGAAGAAAGGGAGAGAAGGAGGATGGGAAAGAACGGAGAAAGGAAGGAAGGAAGGAAGGAGAAAAGGAGGGAAGGGAAGGTGTATGAAGGAAGTAAGGAAGGAGAAGCTGAGAAGGTATATGAAAGAAGGAAGGAAGGAAAGAAAGAAGAAAGGGAGAGAAGGAGGATGGGAAAGAAGGGAGAAAGGAAGGAAGGAAGGAAGGAAGGAAGGAGAGGAGGGAAGGTGTATGAAGGAAGGAAGGAGAAGTTGAGAAGGTATATGAAAGAAGGAAGGAAGGAAAGAAAGAAGAAAGGGAGAGAAGGAGGATGGGAAAGAACGGAGAAGAAGGAAGGAAGGAAGGAAGGAAGGAAGGAAGGAAGGAAGGAAGGGAAGGAGAGAAGGAGAAGGAAGAAGAAGGAAGGAAGAAAGAAGAAAGGAAGGAGAGAAAGAAAAGAAAAAGGAGGAAGGAAGGAAGGAAGGAAGGAGAAGGAAGGAGGGAAGGAGGAAAAGGAGAGGAGGGAAGGTGTATGAAGGAAGGAAGGAAGGAGAGAGAAGGAAGGAAGGAAGAAAGGAGGAAAGAAAGAAGAAAGGGAGAGAAGGAGGATGGGAAAGAAGGGAGAAAGGAAGGAAGGAAGGAAGGAAGGAAGCAAGGGAAGGTGTATGAAGGAAGGAAGGAGAAGTTGAGAAGGTATATGAAAGAAGGAAGGAAGGAAAGAAAGAAGAAAGGGAGAGAAGGAGGATGGGAAAGAACGGAGAAAGGAAGGAAGGAAGGAAGGAAGGAAGGAAGGAAGGAAGGAAGGAAGGAAGGAAGGGAGGAGGGAAGGTGTATGAAGGAAGGAAGGAGAAGTTGAGAAGGTATATGAAAGAAGAAAGGTAGGAAAGAAAGAAGAAAGGGAGAGAAGGAGGATGGGAAAGAAGGGAGAAAGGAAGGAAGGAGGAAATGAAAGAAAGATAGAAAAAAGAAGAAAGGGAAGGGGAAGGGAAGGTGTCAAAAGGAAGGAAGGAAGGAAGGAAGGAAGGAAGGAAGGGGAATTTGGGAAGGGGAAGAGAGGAAAAAAGCGAAGGAAGAAGAGAAAGGGAGGGAAGAAAAGAAAGAAAGAAAAGGAAGACTGGAAGTCAAGAGCGAAGGAAGGAAGGAAAGAGATAGAGAGGGAAGAAAGGAGAGAAAGAGGAAGGAAAATAAAAAGGGAGGAGGAAGGAAAGAGGAAGAGAAGGAAGGAGGAGAGAAGGAAAGAAAAAAGGGAAGGGAGGAAAGACGGAGCAAAGGAAGAAGGAGAGAAAGAGGGAGGGAAGGAAAGAAATAAAGAGAAGGAAGGATGGGAGCAAAAAGCTAAGGAAGGAAGTAAACAGGTAGAGAAGGAAGAAAGGAAAGAAGAAAAGGAAATGAAGGAAGGAGTGAAAGGAGCAGAGAAAGAGGGAGAGAAGGCTGGCCACAGCAACGCGTGGCGAGTAAAGCTAGTATAATATAATATTATTATATTCTAATATAATATAATATTAATAGTTAATAGAATAATGTATTTTATAATACAATAATATATTATAATATAATAATATATTATAATATAATAATATATTATATTATATTATAATATAATAATATATTCTTAGAATTATAAATATATATATAATGTGACACTAACTGTTTCCGAGTTTCTCCGGGTTTTTTCTCCGCCGAAGCCTAGAGAGGAAGACAAAGCGTAAAATAAACAGACACACACAGACACGCATATGAATTGTATTATTTGTCAATAAATACTATATTTATGTTGTGTATTTATTGCTTATATTATAGATCTTTCAAGTGAGAGGCAAAGTAGCTCACAGCATTGAAATTGGTAGACTATTAGTATATTAATATTATTATTGTATACATTTAGTCATATAGAACTTGATTTTTTCTTACCGTGAACTGGTGTAATATCCAGCCTTGGTTGTTGGGGTCTTTCCGTCACTGGGAAAAAAATTAAAAAATAGTATTTGCATCTAAGCCAAGAGATAATTTTTTATCATCTAAGGAGAGGGATAAAAGTGGGATATGCGTCACACCTACTGTAATAATAATAATAATAATAATAGGAAACCTGCTACAAAACAGGAGCTTTTTTGTTGAGTTCCAGGGTGTTGTGGTTCAACAGGCCCCTGAGTCTGATTTTCAGTTTTCTCAGCCTGCAGACGAGCTGGAGAAGCAGTTCTCACAGGACAGGAATGCAGCTGATAAGGAGGAGGGCCAGGTGCTCCTTCAAAGGGATAACGAAACCGTGACACGGAGCTCTCGGATCGCAGCCAAGTTAGGTCAAGGGAGCAATGGGAAAGCAGTTTGTGGGAAGCTAGATTGTTTTGATGTGCAAAACGTATTTAGGGTTGCCTCGGGCAATTCTTAGCTGTCAGTTTCAACGTGGCTATCTGCTAAGCTGTTTCATGGTTCTGCATTGGATTCCTTCATGCGGCTTTTGGGCTAAGCTGCTTCTTGCTTCATGATTCCTGTTTACTTTGATTGTCTCTGAAGGATTTCTGGAACTGTACCGTGCATTTTACCTGAACTTTGGAACTTTGTATTGACTTAACCTTTGCCTTCTTTTGGAAACTTTACAATAAACTATAAATCCTACAGCCGTGGTCTGGTGGTGTTTGAGAGCAAGGTGAAACTTATCCTGAGGTGCCACACAGGGCCAGAGAAGCAGATGGCGGAAACAGAAGAACGGCCTGCCTCAGGGGAGCGTGCTTTCTCCATCCATGTTCAACATCTACACAAATGACCAGCCACTGCCAGAAGGGACAGAGAGTTTCATCTATGCTGATGATCGTGCCATTACCTCTAGGAAACCTGCTACAAAACAGGAGCTTTTTGTTGAGTTCCAGGGCCAGAGAAGCAGATGGCGGAAACAGAAGAACGGCCTGCCTCAGGGGAGCGTGCTTGCTCCATCCATGTTCAACATCTACACAAATGACCAGCCACTGCCAGAAGGGACAGAGAGCTTCATCTATGCTGATGATCGTGCCATCACCACTCAAGGAAATCAGCTACAGAACAGGAGCTTTTTTGTTGAGTTCCAGGGCCAGAGAAGCAGAGGGCGGAAACAGAAGAACGGCCTGCCTCAGGGGAGCGTGCTTGCTCCATCCATGTTCAACATCTACACAAATGACCAGCCACTGCCAGAAGGGACAGAGAGCTTCATCTATGCTGATGATCGTGCCATCACTGCTCAAGCAGGGAGCTTTGAGATGGTTGAACAGAAGCTCTCCAAAGCTCTAGGTGCTCTTACTGCCTATTTCAGGGAAAACCAGCTGATCCCTAATCCATCTAAAACACAGACATGTTTCCATCTCAAAAACAGACAAGCATCCCGAGCTCTGATATTACCTGGGAAGGAAGGAATCCCACTGGAGCATTGCAGAGCACCCAAATACCTGGGAGGAGTCACTCTGGACCGTGCTCTGACCTACAAGAAGCACTGCCCGAACATCAAGCAAAAAGTGGGTGCTAGAAACAACATCATACAAAAGCTGACTGGCACAACCTGGGGATCACAACCAGACACAGTGAAGACATCTGCCCTTGCGCTAGGCTACTCTGCTGCTGAGTATGCATGCCCAGTGTGGAACATATCTCATCACACTAAAACAGTGGATGAGTCACTTCTGACACAGGGTGTCTGCGCCCTACACCACTGGAGAAATTACACTGCTTAGTCGGTATTGCACCACCTGACATCCGTCGGGAAGTAGCAGCCAATAGTGAAAGGACAAGGCAGAGACATCTCCAGCTCATCCCCTGTTTGGGTATCAGCCAGCACGTCAACGACTTAAATCTAGAAATAGTTTTCTAAGATCTACAGAGACACTCGCTGGAACACCTCAGCAAGCGAGAGTCCAAAAGTGGCAGGTTCAAACCCAGAACCTCAACCAATGGCTGATACCAAATGAGAGACTCCCCCCTGGGCACACAGAGGACTGGGCGACTACCACCTCACCCACCTCATAGGAAATCTGCTACAAAACAGGAGCTTTTTTGTTGAGTTCCAAGGCCAGAGAAGCAGATGGCGGAAACAGAACCTCAACCAATGGTTGATACCCAATAAGAGACTCCCCCCCTGGGCACACAGAAAACTGGGCGACTTGGAAGGCGCTGAACCGACTGCGCTCTGGCACCATGAGAGGCAGAGCTCCAGGAAATTAGCTCCAGGAAGGACGTACCTGGGTCCACATGGATGGGGACGGGTCTTATGTGGTCCGTGGGCACCGCCGGCGCTGGACCGCATCCCTCTCGCAGCAGATCGGCTAGAGCGCCTTGACCCGTTTCCTGGAGGCAGTGGATGAAGATAGGCAAGGCCCGCTTTCCCCGCGTCTCCAGGTCAATGCACAGCTGCCGCGCCTGCGCACTCCGCACACCCGACCCCTGCGAAGAAGGAGACATCACGCCTGAAGGTGTGTCTACACTGGAGGACGAATGCGGTTTAGCAACAACTGTGACAAGGGGTTTCATGGGAGCCAAGAAATTCCTAAGGAGGTTCCTCTAACGGGTAATAGATATATATATATATATATACATATACTAGCTGTGCCCTGCCACGTGTTGCTGTGGCCTATAGTAAGAATTTTCGAAGGAGAGGTAGATACCTGGACTATTATGAAAGAGAGGAACCTACCTATTCCTTCCCCCTCTTTTTCTTCCCCTTTCTCTCCTTTCTTCCTTCTCTACCTCTTTCTTTCCTTCCTTCTTTCACTCTTTGGTTTCATCCTTCCTCCTCTCTTTCCTTCCTTCCTTCCCTCCCCCTTTCTCTACTTCTTCCTTTGTCTCATGTCTTCCTTCACTGTTTTCTTGCTTCTTTCACTTTCTATTTCCTTTTCCCTTCCTTCCTTCTTTACCTCTTTCCTGCCTTTCCTTTCCTTTCTACTTTATCTTCTTCCTTCCTTCCTTCCTTCCTTCGGTACCTCTTTCTTTCCTTCCTTCCTTCCCTCCCTACTTCTCTTCTGTCTGGTAGAGTCCCTTCTAACTCTATTCTAGGAGTCTATTTAATATAGTAACATATGGTAGTAACATATTATATAGTAATAGATATAACAGTAATATATGTAATATAATATTCATGTATTATATAGCAGTATATATAATAGTAATATATATAGTATTGTAATTATATATATCAGTGGTTCTCAACCTGGGGGTCGGGACCCCTGAGGGGGTCACGAGGGGGTTTCAGAGGGGTCACCAAAGCC